GTGTGTGTGTGAGAGACCAGATAGCTTTAAGACACCAGGCACAACGTTGGGGTCCGTCCCATGCCCCTGAGAATACGGTATGTTTCAGCGCTAAGCGTTTAAACGCCGACAAGCCTTATAGGATACGTTGTAACCCGAGGACCGGAGTCCAACTCATCTTTGGCCACTGCGGGTGACGCCTCGCCCTCTCGCCCCCCCCACGGCACCCGGGATGATTGAAGGTGGAGGGGCGGGGGGGTGGAAGGGCGGGTGGAGGGGGAGGGGTAAAGCGGGGAGGGGGGATTTAGGGGTGGACTGTTGGTGGCGAGAGGGGAGACTCGCGATAGAGGGGTGGGCGAGGGGAGGGGGGTGGATGAAGGGGCGGGGGTGGATTAGAGTGGGGCCTCTGGGGGGGGGGGGGGTTGGGTGGTAACCAAAGTGGGGGCTCATGGTGAAGGGGGTGGAGTTGTGAGTAGAGAGGGCAGGGGAGGCTGAGTTATTCCGAGCAGGAATGTCGAGTGGAGGGGGGGGGCGGTGGTGGGGGGGGGCGACCTCCCTGCTGCCCAAGGACTCAGCCGGGGGAGGGGGTGCTGGGGGAGAGGGCACCGAGGGTGGGGGGCAGTGGGGGGCACGAGTGGAGAGCAGCACCCACGACCTTTATATCAAACCCAGAATGGCCTAATGACAACGTTATCAACAATCACAACCGTGGTGGTTGGTGTTGGTGGTGATGCTGTGAGGTCACTGCAACAGCTGATGCGGCCTCTTCGCTGACGATTCATTAAACAGAATCGCGTGTTCGCGGAGAGCCATGCGTTTCTTATAATATAGCGGACAGGATGCAATTGTTTAAATCCCGCTTGGATTTCGCCCAGGAAAGCCTCACTCTGCCTCGTGACTCGTTTGCGGCATGGTCCTGGCTCGTTGCTTCACGATTAACATCAATATGAAGTACAACCGACTACAATAATCGTATCATAATCGTCATCAGCCATGCTCTATCCATTGCTGGACGAACACCTCTCCAAGCCGTTGACATCGCTGTAGTCTCTACACATTGTGAAACTATACATTCTAGATAGAGTCGGAACACCGAGTTGAATAGATGCCATAGATCCGTACCGCCTGTAGATTTCTTAACATTAACTACTCCAGCCTCTATAGATTCTCGCAACTGTAGATGTTACACGCACCGCCAATGCCACTTGAGATCTCCGAATCAAATCGTGGCCCCGGATTGTGATAATAATGATTGATGGAAGCGTGCGGTGTTGAATCGTTTCGCCGCCGACGACTGATTATGCCAGTCTGAGTGACAGGAATTGGACGGGGAGTTGGGTGGGGGCACGTGGGAATTTGTGGGTTGGTTTTTTTTCTCTCCGCCTGATGAAGACCGTTTATTTTGCGATCGAAACGTCGTGGGTTTTTTGCTTTTTTATTTTCAATGTATTATTTTTTATTGTAAATTAATTTTATTATTTTAATTTATATTTTATTTTCTATCTTCCTGACTTTACCGAAAGAACCAAGAATGTTTTTTTCTGTTGATTTATCTTTCCCCTCCCCTGCATCCCCCACTTTCCCCCCCACCCCTATACCCCGAGCAGCCACGTGATCGATTTCCCCGCCCATAATTAATCAACGCCCCACCCCCAAAAGTAGCGGACACTTGCAAAACCCGGAGTGGATGTGCAAATTGGTAAATTGTGCTTCCTACTCCCCAATGTTCCACTCTGCCTCTCTGTCTGTCGCAGAATATCCGTCTCAATTCCTCTCGTTCGTCCGCCTCTCTATCTGCTGTCTAAACCACTTACAGCAGCACCGCAAGCTGGGCATAATTTCTCACCGAATGTATATATTTTTTTACAGGTCGCTGTTAGATTGGGTTAGGTAGCACGTGCCTCGTAATAGCCACGGCGAGATGTACACTCTGATGTGGCGTACCGGGTGCAGTGATATTTTACTGGGTCGTTGACCCGTCGGGTATTTATCCCTGACGGCAAGAGTATCACACTCGCCGTGTCAATCATGTTGCCCGCGTCACGATCAGGGCTCTTTATTTCAGCCGGGTCTGTCCCGACATTTTTTTTCCCGCACCCGGCACACCACGTTGAGAATACCTTTCGCGATGAGCTGTGGCTACTCGTCACTAGCCACCTACCCACTCCAGTCTACCAGCGACCCGGAAAATATCCAGCGAGAAATTAATCTCTGGACGTAGAGGCCCATAGAGAACCATAGATTTACAGAGACTCATAGACTTGCATAGGTAAAGGTGCAGCCCTGCGAATGCTTGCTCACGCCGCTGCTGGCGGAAGGGGGCCTCCTCCACTCGAGGGAATTTTAGAGGGCCCCCCGAAAGTCGTATTCCACGGGGAAATATTTTCGGCACTCGGCACACCACGTTCAGTATATCTCTCGTTATGGGCACCAGATGTGACAACTACGAGCCAGCAAGTTCCACCTCCCCCACTCTTACAAAGCGAACCCGGGGTTGACAAATTGAGACCTGGTCGCGATGATTGATGCGCCGTGACTAGAGCTGTCCGTATGTGGTGGGGGGGGAGGCAGGGAGGGGGTGCTTGGGTGTACAGAAGAGCACAGAACAGAGAGCATCGTGTCCCTAACCAGCGCGGGTCTCGCTTTCCGCTTGAGAGCGACCTCTGAGATTATTTTAGGCCGAGAGGAAAAGCGCCATGCAGCGGGTCGCGCGGTGACGGTAGCGCCATGGATAAAGGGTGGAGGGGGGTCTGGGGGGTGGATGGGGGGGCTGTAAATGTGTGGGTAGGGGGGGTGTTTGAACGAGGACTCAATGGGTGCGTTTGAGTTGCTTGAATATCAATCGATTACATTTTGTTTGATTCGTTATGTTTTGAGTAATGGGGTTGACGTGACACCCGCAGCCGCTCGTGGCCGCTACATTTATCACTTTAAAAAAGGCAGTCGATTGTTCTATTAAAAGAGTGAAATTAATCGCAACGGTCATTCGAAAGGGCGGAGGGCTGTGTTTAATACATGCGGTTAGGAGGACGTGAATGGGAATAATTAGAAACGATATTACATTAAAAAATGTGGAATCATTTCTCAAACTGTGAACTGGGAGTGGTGATACATGGCCAAGTATCGAACCAACGATTAATCGAAACGACTCAACACATCCCTCAATAACACTGTGGCCTTAAAATTTAAAAATAAAGAGACAACGTTTCGGGCAATGGCCCTTCTTCACTACACACATAGGCCAGAGAGGGACAGTGGAGACGAATTGGAGAGAGCACTTTATATACCACAGGGCCTGATCAGAATTCAATTATACGAATGATTCCCGATTAACATTATGTTTTCCTTTACATTATCCAAGTTGTGATGCAAACGATGAATGGGTTCACAGTTTGAGAGCGATTACCACGCTCGCGTTGTGTGGGACGCACGGCGCCTTTGAGGCACCAATTGATGATTTATCATTAGAGCCAAAATGTATCTGCAAGTTATATTACTGACAAATACAAACCACGCGGCAGCAAACGAGGCAGACGACATAAATGCCAGCCGTGAAACGGCACCGACGCCGAAACAAGCCGAGCGAGACAGCCCCCACTGAGAGGAACAAAGCAGACCGACACGAACAGCAGGTACCGGCACACGCGGACCGAGACACTAAAAGCCATATAATTACGACATCAAATTCATTTGTGATGATGATGATGCTGCTGCTGGCAGTGGTGCACAAGAAGAATGAACAAAAATTCAAAACATTCGTCAATTATAACACTGTGGATACCACTGTGTGTGGCCTTAAATAGAGATATGTGATATGATGTGAAGAAGAGCCATTGCCCGAAACGTCGTCTAAAGTATAGATTTGTTTTATTTGAAGGCCACACAAAATTGGTATTTCCGAATGTGTTTAGTTTTATTTGTTCAATAATTAATCGAATCGTGACCCCCTAATCGTGACTATTAACTGCATGGCGGGAGGGGTTGGCGGTGAGTCTACACATGGCTGGCATGAACACGTGCTGGGTTAAAAGTGCTCAGCAGCATCAGGTTTTATTTTTAGATGGATGCTTGAGCCGCGGAGAGGAGTCGGGGGTGGTGGATGAGGGATGGGGGCGGGAGGGGTGTGACAAGGGGGGGGGGGATCAGGAAGCCAGTTGAGGGGGGAGGTGATTCATAATCCGGCGACTTGGAGTAGCCGACTCACAATAGCAAGGAGGTAACGAATGGAGGGTCAAAGGCGCATCAGTCGATCACTAAAACCAACTCCGAGACCACAGCCTGCGGACCGATGCACTAGACACGCGTCGCCAGGTGTGCGGAGATTTACAGGTGTGTGCGAGTGGAACACTGGCGTCCAGATAGACGCATGTGTTCATATACAGGTGTGTTGAGATACATGGGTGCATGTGTCCTAGTGTAAAGACAAAGGTCCCTTGTGTTGTTTGCGAGCACCTATTAAGGCCGCACGATGTTACGGGGAGGTGTGGCCAGTACAGCACACACAACAGCCGTAATTCGTCACTAAGTGACGTCTCCACGGCCCCTGTGCTAGGCTAGGTGCACCTCGAGGCTCTTCATGTGGCTTCAAAACTACCAACACAAAGACACATACGCACATACGCAAAGACGCAAAGACCCCCGTATGAAGGCCGGCACGGCACACGAGGGGGTGGGGTGACCATCATCACGCTTGGCCGCCTTTGTCTCCTCAGTGCCGATGTTTACACACCGCACCAGGTACTCATCTGAGGTTTAGTCGACCAGGATCGGTTCAGATAATCATCACTGGCGTTGGCCGTGAGCGGGAATCGAACTCGTGTCGCCCGATTCGTAGCGCTGCGTGCTAACCACTACACTACCGCTCACCACTACAAAGACAAAAGTTCACAGTATAGCCTTAACAGACTGTCGGAGCAAGTGCTGTTAGCGAGCACCACTACACACACACATACTCACACACGAAGACAACGCGGACACACACGGACACACACACACACACGGACACACACACACTCACGGACCTTGCGCTGTTGCTTCTCCCAGGCGGGGTCAAGGAGGAGGTCACGGTCCCAGTCATCCTCCTGCCCCATGTAGCTTTGCTCGCCACCGTACTCGTGCTGGATGTACTGGTACTGCACGCTGTTCTGCTCTAGCGTCTCCATCGTGCTGACGAGTCTGGTTGCTGGCGATGACCTCCTTGAGTTTTTAGCTGTTGTTGCAAAATTTCACTTTTTTTTTTACAATAATTTCTCTCACCTCGGGACTTCCTCTAGGTGAGAGTGTGTGTGTGTCTCTGCGTGTGTGCGTATATAACCCCTGTGCCTATAGATATCCCTCTCCTTCTAAATGTATTGATCTTTCTATCCCGATATCTCTGAAGTCCTACGCAGAAGACACGGACGGGATGGTCTCGTGCGCCGCAGTCGCCCCCGACTGAAGCAAAGACCCCTCCGCTCCAAGCCTCATAGAGTCAAGGGGGTGCGAGCTGGAGTAGGAGGGGTGGTGATGGGGGCGGTGATGGGGGTGTTGGAGGATGGCGGTGGGGGGGGGCTGATAGGGATGAGGGAGAGATAGAGAGGGGGTCGTGGTTCGGTAGAGGGACAGTTTGGGGGGTGGGGGGAGGAGCAAGGGTCCAGGATGTTCCGATTGGGTCCCCCGTGGTGGAGCAGATAATTAAGCTGATGCCTCCCGTCTGACATCAGCGCCTCCACACGGCAATATCATCAACATCACCACCACCACCACCTTAATTACTGTTGCTCTATTCAACAGATGTGCGTCTGTCTGCCGTTATTCTGCTCATAATTGAGAGCGGTACGGTGATGAGTAACGCACCGCGAATCAGAAAAAAACTGTAATCATCATAATTCCCAAGTGCTTTACGCAAGTTGTTACTTCGCTGCTGACGAGAGAGAGATCGTGACCTGAGCTGGAGAGCTGCCTCGACCACGTTCAGTGGAGAGAGCGAGCCAACAGTTCGGCGACGACCACCCCCCCCCACCTTCATCGCCATCTGCGACTCACAAAGCAAGACGCGTCGGCGGACGAATGCCATGGAGAGCACGCGACAGTGCGCGCATGGACAGACAAGGCGAAGATCGAGAGAGTGGAGATCGCACGCCATATACTTCAGCGCCACCCATCGCGGCCAATGTGCATGCGACAGCTGCTCGGAGCACGGCCAGCGGTACACAATGTATAAATAAATGAGCGAAATCCTTAATGGGGGTGGGGTGACGTAATGGGGTGCTCCTTCTTGGGGCCGCCAGGAGCCCCCCCGTGGGCGCGGGATGGGGGCGAAGGTGGACGAGGGGGTGTGGGGGGGGGTGTTGGAGCCAGAGGAACCAAGTCAAACAGAGAGGAGACAACACTCTGTGTGCGTCTCTCTCTTTTTTTTCAGTGGAAACAAGAAGATGCTCGGTGTATTCGGCACTTTACTTCGTTCATCATTTCGTAATTTTTTTTAAATTATTTTTTTTAATTAAATTTTTTGGCTTTATGTAACCCCCCCCCCCCCTAGCTCACTCTCTCGCTCTCTCTCTCGCTCATTCTCTCTCGCTCTCTCTGTGCCCACAAAACCCGAAGCTCACAATCGTTTGGGGATTTAACGGACGAGTGGCAGCGATGTTGAAGTTGGGCGGGGGTCATATGCCACCGATGGATGTCCGACTGTACAACCCTATTGCCGATCCACTGCTGGATGAGGACTTCCCAGAAGAAGAGAGGTGACGGGGGTGGGGCAGAGAGAGAGAGAGTGTGGGAGGGTGAGGCTGCAAAGGGGCAGGGGTAGCGGGGGGGATGGTGGTGGGGGGCGAGAGAAGGGAGGAGGATGGCGGCGGGGGGGGGGGGCTGTCGAAGCGGGTATCGCAATGTACCCGTTCGGTCGCACGGCCCCCCACGCAACAGCTGAGCGCGATAAATAGTGACTGACGCGATCCCCTCTACCCACCCCTCCACCCCACCCACCCTCCCTCGCCTGCCTCCCCTTTCCACTTCTCGCCCCCCGCGATGGTATGGAACTCCCGACACGTGGACTGCGGAACGCGCACGCACGCACGCGGCCGGGCTTCGGACTCAAACCCAAACCACGACGGGTTTGGGTGGTTGGGGAGGGGTGGTGCTCTGCCATTGTTCAGGGTTAGTGGATCGGGCGAAAGATCATCCGTTTGTTGTTCACCTAAAACGTCAGGTTTTGCTCGCCAATGTCATGTGGCCTGACCCCAAAATAAATAAGGATTATCGCCATCATCAAATGTGTGTTCTCACAACGCGTGGAGTATCTTCCTGCCAGTAAAAGACAAGTACAGCAAGTGGGTTCGCGGAACTCATCTGCATCAGGGGAGTTTTGAGTCTTCTCTGACGCGTGTTTCGGAACGATGCCCGACGTTCCCAGACAGGACCCTCCTGAAAAGGAGGCTTGAAACTCAGCGAAGTCATCTTGGGTGAATCAAAAATAATCGTAATTATATAACCGCTCCCTGGCATTCATCGTCATGATCAGCCACGATCCATCCACTGCTGGATGAAGCCCCCCCCAAAGCCACCAGTCCACCCAGCCCCTGCACGCGAGCTGGTCGGCCCTGGCGTTCACAGCGAGGAGAGTTGAGGACGATGCACAGGGTCCTCTTGGTGATGCGGCAGCGAGTACGTCGCAGAAGCAACACCAAAGAGGGGGGGGGGGGTGCGCGAGTGAGTGATTGTGGTACGACTTTAGCCCCCCACTCCTTCAATGCCCACACCTTGCATCAGCCGCTTGCCCCACACACAAAGCCCCCCCCCCCCCACTTCTGTCCTGTGCTGCATGCGCTGTGATACGTCCACTGTATGAGCAAACATGTGAAGTCACGATTTTTTTTGTGTCCAGGGTGCTTACGTTGTTGAGGAGTTGGTAAAAGTAGGACACGATGTGGTGGTGTCCGAGTGATTATGTTTGGCTTGGTCAGCAGCTGCCTTACCAATATCAAGTGACCGCCCTTGCGTGCTAACGCAGAGAAGAGTTTGTGTTCGTGGAAGGTAACCTCTGGTAATCACGTCTCATCCTGTCTCGTTCTATTCTATCTTATCTCATATCCTTCAATCTCATACGAGCTCATCTCACCTCATCCTATATACTCCTCAGTGTTATCCCAATACACCCCCTTCCATCTTCTCCATTTCCATCTCATCTACTCCCGCTCCATCCCATCGCACCCCCTTTCATCTCATCCCTTTCCACCTCACAAATCTCCCATTCCATCTCATCTCCTCTCTCTCCATCCCATCCCCTTCTGTCTGCTCCCTCTCCATCTCATCAAATCTCCTCCCTCTCCATCCCATCCCCTTCCATCTGCGCCTTCCCAATCCCATCCAATCTCCTCCCACTCCATCCCATCCCCTGCTATCTCCTCCCTCTCAATCCCATCCCATAAACATCTCCCTCTCCATCCCATCCGATCCCCTTCTATCTGCTCTCTCTCCCCATCTCATCCCATGTCCTCCCTCCCATCCCACCCCCTTCTATCTCCCCCCTCTCGATCCCATCCCCGTCTAACTGCTCCCATGCCGTCAGGCGAGGACCTCTGTATTGGTACCGCTCCCCATGTCTCGGCTGCCCCCCCCCACTGCCCCTGCTCTGGTTTCTGCGCCCCCTCCCGCTGGTCGAGGTATAAATAACCGAGCCACGCCGCCTCGACTCACGCAGAGTATTCATAGCCACGGGGCGCTGCCTCGAGTCAAAAAAAAATACTGACGAGGTCGAAAAATCCACTAGTACGGGGTTTATACTCTTGCGCATGGGTACGGGTTGGGTTATTGTTAGGGCTCGGGTTAAGGTTAGGGTTAAGGGTAAGAACAGCACTGAAGTTAAAATGTTGAGGTAGTTTTTGTTTATTAATAAGGTTAGGTATATAGGGTTAGTGTTTGGGAAGAGATGAGGTTATGTGTGTGGATATGATAGTGGGTATAGAGCGAGTTCTTGCGGTCGGGTTAGAGATAGGCATATGGTAAAGGGTAGAGTTAGTAGTAGAGGTCGGCTGAAAGTTGTGCTCGAGTGTGAACAGGGTTAGGGTAAGCAGTATGTATTGGCAGCGATGTTGTTAGGGAAAGTATAGGATTGGTGTAGATCAGTGTCAGGATAGAGTTCAGTGTAGGGATAGGTTTCAGGTAGGAATAGTGATAGGTTAGGTTGATGGTTATGGGATAAACTTATAGGGTAGGGGAAAGGTAGGGATAGGGTCAGTGTAGAAATAGGATCTAGGTAGGGATAGAGTTATGTTAGTGATAGGATTGAAAACTAGAGGCGGTGTTCAGTCTGGCGTAGCGATCGTCTATAGCTATGCTGAATGCAATATCCTCCACAATACTCTCTGGTTCTTTCGGTAAAGTCACGTAGGTATAAAATACAAGATACAAATGTTTTCTACCCACGTGACTTTACCGAAAGAACCAAAGAGTATGGATTCCTGCAGTCACGAAAGCTTCAAATCACCCTACACAATGTTCAATATTTCATTAACGCGCACAGCCCACTCGACAATCCACTGCTGGATGAGATCCTTCTCACGCCTGTTGCTAATCGCGGGGGTCATTTGACCATACTTCACCACGACGGTCAAGGCGTGGTGCACACGGTGAAGGCGGTGGGAGGGCATCGACGTGAAAGGCTATCCCCTTCGCAATGGATGTCGATGTCGATGCACTGCCCTCTGCTGCCCGCTTACGGTATCGATGTTGACTGCCCCGTGTTATGATACAACGGTGCAAAATAAGTAATAATATTAAAAAAACAAAAAAACACGCTTTTATGAAATATGCTAGTAATGGAAGAACTCCACGACTGCAAGAAGTGGCCCCGAAGCTTGCCACAACGTAAGGGGCCGTGGCCAATTACAGCCAACGTCAGTTGAGCGTGGACAATTAGACCCAAGCCGAAACATAACATATAAAAAATAATGTTTAAATGTTTTATTTTAAATTTTTTATGATAGAATATAGTATTGTCATCAGTATGACATAAGTATACCAAGTTTGCAGTCGATACCACATTAGGAAGTGGGTTAAAATTGAGTTACAAGATTTGAGGATACAACGACAACAACAACAGACAGAGTGAGTTAAATTAAAGCGTGCAATAAAACGGTGCGGCCCTGCAATTTCTCGCTCAAGCCACTGCCTGCGGAAGGAGTCTCCACTGGAAGGGAGCTCTCGGAGAGTATTTGGCCTACTCTTCCACGCCGGTCAGACGTCTTGGTAGAGGTGGAAGAACCCACACTTTACCCCGCCACACGCGATCTACCGATCATCGACTTTAACTGTGGTGTTGCACTAATTTATGCGGCTCCTGGGTTGGACTGCAGAGGAGAGAGGCGGGGGGTGATAAAATAAATCATCTCAATCAGAAACATCAAGCGGCAACCTCTGGCTTGCAAGTCCGGTGGCGAGATGTTAACTCTCTTCCCTGGTATGCAGGAGGTCGTGGGTTCGAT